AAGTCAGTCATAGCATGAACCAGTTCAAGAAGAGTGCCAAAAGGTGTCTGATGAATGTAGCTACAGAAAGGGAAGGGAATGATTTTTTTATTTTTTAGCTAACACACGTGTAAATTTACCTTATTCCTAGCAATGACCCTCGTATTGTAGGTAGTCTTCATGATCCTCGTGTAGTAGATAGTCTTTTTAGTAAGATAATAAGATGTTATCTTCATTATAAAACAATAATGAGATTTTATAACCTTTATATTATAATAATAAGGTAAAATGACCCCAATGGAAATAAGTCACTCTGTCTGACTTTTTGGGGTTATCCCAGGTTCTCTACACATATGCTGCTATGTATGATAATCTATTTAACTGTATTTGTGTATACCTGAATAAACTTACATACTTACTTGTAACACCACCACCACCTTTACTTAACAGCCATATCAGCGTCACCACTTAACACAGCCGTAACATCACCATCACTTAATACATCGCCACCATTTAAAAACAGCCACCATAACAAACACGTGACACAGCTACGAAAACACTACTGTTACCACTAAGTAAGGAAAAACTCGAGCAAAGTAATCAAGATACGTTTTTTGATCACTAACACAGAATCATACAATGGCTTCATTCAGCACTACAGAACCGGGTGCCGTCTCCACCCACCACAGCAGAATCGCGTACCAGCCACCACACCACAAGAGTGAACAAGGCAGAGTGCAGAGGCCTGGTCGCTTCTATTCCCTTGGGCTACAAGTAAGTATATCTTACCACTCACTAAGATGACCAGGTACAGCGCCGCGCCTCCTGCTACAGTTATATACGGGGGACATACGTGCGTGGGAGAAGATGAGTGATGGCGTCAAGAAAGGTGAGTGAAGGTTATGAATAACAGAATAAGAGAAAATGAGTAAAGGGAGGGTAACTGAAGGAGGATAAGAGACGGAATGGAAGAGAGGGAGGTTCTGAGTAATATAATGAGGGATGATGGGTGAGGTAGAGCACAACGAAGGGAAGTTTCCACTGTCACTCTACCAAGGTTACAACACAGTGGTGAGCTCACGGGAGAGACACTAGCCATGGTTACAGTGGTAACATACAGACAATTGGAATAACTGAGGCAACTGATCCAACATAAAAAAAATTACTGATAGTCAAAGATTTCACTTTGAACACGACAACATTGTAGAATAAAAATAAAAATGGAATATGCATACATATACGTATATATATATATATATATATATATATATATATATATATATATATATATATATATATATATATATATATATATATATATATATATTTATATATATATATGTATATATATATATATATAATATATATATATATATATATATAATATATATATATATATATATATATATATATATATATATATATATATATATATAGTAGTACCAACACTCTTATATGGGTGTGAAGCTTGGGTTGTAAATGCTGCAGCGAGGAGGCGGTTGGAGGCAGTGGAGATGTCCTGTCTAAGGGCAATGTGTGGTGTAAATATTATGCAGAAAATTCGAAGTGTGGAAATTAGGAGAAGGTGTGGAGTTAATAAAAGTATGAGTCAGAGGGCTGAAGAGGGGTTGTTGACGTGGTTTGGTCATTTAGAGAGAATGGATCAAAGTAGAATGACATGGAGAGCCCATAAATCTGTAGGGAAAGGAAAGCGGGGTAGGGGTCGTCCTCGAAAAGGTTCGAGGGAGGGGGTAAAGGAGATGTTGTGGGCGAGGGGTTTGGACTTCTAGCAAGCGTGCGTGAGCATGTTAGATAGGAGTGAATGGAGACAAATGGTATTTGGGACCTGACAAGCTGTTGGAGTGTGAGCAGGGTAATATTTAGTGAAGGGATTCAGGGAAACCGGTTATTTTATATTACCGGACTTGAGTACTGGAAATGGGAAGTACAATGCCTGCAATCTAAAGGAGGGGTTTGGGATATTGGCAGTTTGGAGGGATATATTGTGTATTTTTATACGTATATACTTCTAAACTGCTGTGTTCTGAGCACCTCTGCAAAAACAGTGATTATGTGTGAGTGAGGTGAAAGTGTTGAATGATGATGAAAGTATTTTCTTTTTGGGGATTTTCTTTCTTTTTGGGTCACCCTGCCTCTGTGGGAGACGGCCGACTTGTTGATATATATATATATATATATATATATATATATATATATATATATATATATATATATATATATATATATATATATATATATATATATATAAATATATATATATATATAATATATATATATATATATATATATATATATATATATAATATATATATATATATATATATATATATATATATAATATATATATATATATATATATATATCATTATCAAGAGGAGCCTCACAACAGCTGGATGCCCAGCAGTAAGGGAGCCACCCCAACTATGCAGATCTGATGGCAGCCAGAAGCGTCCAGATGGTATCACCCTTCAAGCCTGGACAGATAGGAAGCAGGTGGTGTGGGACTATACATGTGCATCTATCTTGGCTGATACCTATCTCCAATACACCAGGGAGGAAGGAGGGGCAGCTGCCAGCTTCAGGGAGTCCCAAAAGTCTAGAAAATATGGAGAACTTGCCCATCATTATATGTTTGTTCCCATAGGCTCAGAGACCCTTGTCTCATGGGGAAAGAGTGCATCTAATTTCCTTAAGGAGCTGGGAAAAAGACTCATCAGGGTAACTAGGGATCCCAGGGCAGCTAGTTTTCTGTTCCAGCGGCTCAGTGCGGCTGTTCAAAGGGGTAATGCCTGCTGTATTTTGGGCACACGCCCCAGCTCTGAGGAGCTGGATGAGATTTTCGCCTTATAATCGGTGATACACACGTAACAACATGTACCGTATGTGCCACCTTTATATCAACAATGTATCTCTTAAATCTTCTGTGCCATATTATGTAATAAAATATTCCTATTGGTAAAAAAAAAATAGTTTAAAAGATGGGGTGGTAGGGGAAGTGGAATATTCAAACGGCTTCAGGAAGAAATCCAAATATTCTTCCTTGAAGCCTTTTTATCCACTTCTCCGAGGCTATGGGTCCCACAATTTACACCAGAGGTGGACCCCATCCTATATATATATATATATATATATATATATATATATATATATATAATATATATATATATATATATATATATATATATAAAATGTTATCAACTTCATATTTTCATAATGTATATATATATATATATATAATATATATATATATATATATATATATATATATATATATATTATATATATATAATATATATATATATATATATATATATATATATATATATATATATAATATATATATATACATACATTATGAAAATATGAAGTTGATAACGTTTTTATAATATTTTTCCAACAGTTATGTAAGAAAAGTTAAGTTAAGACTGAGGAATTTACCCTCAAACCTTATCCTTGACCTGACATTTGTGAGGTCAGGGAAAGATGACGTCCACCGCGCATAAGGTTACTACTGGTCAACTCAGTCAGTCAATGCTTTACTCTTTCTTGACAAGACGCTATTCCTCGAATCTAGTGTTCAGAAAATAGTCTCGGTTCATGTGGTTGGCGGGGGCAGAGTATGAGTGTATTCATTTATTTACTAATTGTCAAAGGGACTGGTCGATAGACACTTGGCGTAGTGTGTTTGAGTGGTATATGTTTGTGTGTGTGTGTGTGTGTACTCACCTAGTTGCGGTGTGTGTTTATGTGTATGTACTCACCTCACCTAGTTGTACTCACCTACTTGTGGTTACAGGGGTCCATTCACAGCTCCTGGCCCCGCCTCCTCACTGGCCTGTGTTCGTGTGTGTGTAGTAGACACTTGGCCTATATGTATATATATTATATATATATATATATATATATATATATATATATATATATATATATATATATATATATATATATACTGGAGGGATATGTCGTATATCTTTACACGTATATGCTTCTAAACTGTTGTATTCTGAGCACCTCTGCAAAAACAGTGATAATGTGTGAGTGTGGTGAAAGTGTTGAATGATGATGAAAGTATTTTCTTTTTGGGGATTTTCTTTCTTTTTTGGGTCACCCTGCCTCGGTGGGAGACGGCCCACTTGTTGAAAAAAAAAAAAAAATATATATATTATATATATATATATATATATATATATATATAATATATATATATATATATATATATATATATATAATATATATAATATATATATATATATATATATATATATATATATATATATATATTTATATATTATTATATTATATATATATATATATATATATATATATATATATAATATATGTGTGTGTGTGTGTGTGTGTGTGTGTGTGTGTGTGTGTGTGTGTGTGTGTGTGTGTGTGTGTGTTGTGTGTGTGTGTGTGTGTGTGTGTGTGTGTGTGTGTATGTGTGTGTGTGTGTGTGTGTGTGTGTGTGTGTGTGTGATAACATTTGTGTAATACCGAAACTAACATGTTTTCAATAAATGAAAGAAATAAGTAGATAACAGTGGTTTACGGGATTTTTTGATCACGTAGACATTACACTGTAGTTACCATACAGTCACTAACGTCTCATTATAACTTTTTGTTGACAACACAACTGGTATTCATGTGAGGACAGCCCGAGGTTATTTTGAGCCTCTTAGATCACACACTGCTGACATTTCTCTTACAAGACTAAAAACATTTTGGTTAGTGTAACCAGCGTCACATTTACGTATCCTTGTCATAAATATGCACTCAAGTTGGTCCTTCTCACATCGGTATGATGTTCAAGCGATTAGGATGCACTTGAATACGAAATTGTGTTGACCTTCGGGATACAGGCAAGGGGATGCAATGGAAGACAGGGAGCAGTCGCAGACGAACAGTCACTTAGGATACATGCAATCAGCTCTCTGTCCAGTGAAGCGGTGAACAGAGGGTTCACACGCATGCCAGCAGTCTCCTGGGACCATACAAACCTCTTCCATACTGCAAAGTAAAGTAAAGTAAGGAGCAGACAGCTCACATGTTCGCCAACAGTCTCCTGGGACCTACGCAAGCATCTCCGACACTGTCAAGTGAAACACTAAGCAGCTAGCCGAGCGCTGGAGGCCGGTACATTCACGTACACACGTCACACTGTTATGATGCAATCAGCGTGTTGATGCTGCTTTGAGATTTCTTAAATCAGATAGACGACTTTGTGCCAAGGCTTTTAAACGTTTTATGAACATAGGTGGGCAAAGAACGTTTATGAAGACAGTGAAACGTTTGCTTGTTGCCGTTAGATGAGTAACTGACTGGCTATATACTGTATGTAATATTTGTATCTGACACTTTATATATACGTAGCAAATACCTGCCATTATTAAATATTATTAATAAATAATACAATCAAGCTAAATGATCTGAACGATATTTATCGAAACTCTAGGCAAGCATACGAAATCGTTTCGGAACCTCTACATTCTCTCGGCTGCCCGAGGCAAGGGAAAATGACAGAGCTACACGACGGAGGCAGCAAAGTTATCTTTCCAAGCAGTGCCAGTGTGGACAAGATCGTCAAGGTTGAGAACATGAGCAAGTCAATGGAGTTACCACATGATATCAATGACAACGAGAAGTGCCGTGACGTAGGACTTACCAGCGACGGTGACGGAGAGATGAGACCTCCTGACGGTGGCTGGGGCTGGCTTGTTGCTCTTGGCACCTTCATCATCAGCGTAAGTTATGCAGTTCGATGTCCGTGCCTGGAATAATTGATAAGTAATTCACATACGCACACTTTAATTTTGTTTTGCTTTTTTTCTGCATTTCCTCTCTCATCTCAGCAAGTTTCTATTTTAGTTTATAGATTTAAGAATTGTCCTTCTACTATTTTCTTTTCTATGAGATACTTCTAGTAAGTTAAGGGATTTACGAACTAGTTTAGATTTCTCGCCACTAATAAAAGGAGACGAGAAAAAACTGTATTCTAAACTAAACAGCACAAGTATTTTTAAGTGCACTATCAATTACGTGGCATCTCTTGCTTGGAAAAGTTTTAGATATATAATTTATAATTTTCCTGGCCGTTAAGCTATGTTTTCTTCTTTGTGCTCTCTCAAGTTAAGGTAAGACTGTTTACGTCTATCGTATAGTCGTTTTCAGTTCCTTTTTTTGGGGGGGGGGGGGCATTTTTTTTATTTATCCTAGTGAAAGACTTTGCTAATATCTGATTTTAATCTTTATGATCTCTACAAAAGCAGTGTTAATACTTATTTTGGCAACGTCCACAAAAAAATTACTCTGTTTTGAATGTTTTCCTCTGTAGGGACGAGAAAGAAAAATATATAACCACAGTTCTTAAGCTGGATTTTCTTTCATTTATTACCACTTTTCCTTACCTGTCTTTCAGAAATTTGAAAATGAATTACCCTACTTCGACTCTTATGCATATTATCCCCATTTTATAAGGTGTTTTTCTATGGGTGATATGTCAAATGTCTCCGCAAAATTGGTCATTCACACTCTTTCATTTTAATCTCCAACGTCACCGTCAATTTAAGGTAAGCTGATAGTTGCAAGAAAAAGACATTACTTATCTGAAGCCATGTTTACTTGGATTATAAAAATCAGTGAATCATCTTCTTAGCACATCGCTGTTTATTTATTCTTTAGCGATAGTTATCGGACGCTGTTTTTCGTCATAAGATGAGTTCAGTAGTGCCGGTGCTATGATGGGCAGCACAGATAGCGTCTAACTAATCGCTACCCACCCCGTTAACTCATCGCTGTTTATTAGCATACAAGGATACTCCCAGGAGGAATCCAAGATAGCTGATCCTGTTAGCTATGAAGCACTGTGATTTTCTAGATGGAGAAAAATCAGTTCAATAGAAGTCCATCAACCCTCAAGGTTATTGGACTGATCATTTCATCTTTACCTCGTTGCTGCTTCTGATGACACTATGTTAAGTCACTTCTGTATTCGACTGAAGAAACTTAATATTTAGGGGAAGAAACGTTTCAATATTAATGATACCCAACATTTGCACGTATCTTACATACATATCTTACTGACATCTATATCTTATATACATATATACTCACATACATAAGATAAGATTGTAGAAAAAAAATCGAGCTCATTTCTTTGTCGCTCCTAGCGAGTGTATCTCCACCTACAGTCACGTCACATATCTGGAATTAAAAAAAAAAAAAGTTATTCGTAAGAGAAAATTTCAGTTGATACGGGTCTTGTCATGTGACTTGTTCAAGCGGTGATTGTGGTCTTGTAAGTCCTGCTTTTCCTTGGCTAACTGGTTCATCACGTGAAAAAAATGAAACGCGGATTAGCACTCCCCCATGGCTGCAAAAACAACAGCAACAACAACAACAACAATAATAATAATGATAATAATAATAATAATAATAATAATAATAATAATAATAATAATAATAATAATAATATTATTATTATTATTATTATTATTATTATTATTAATTATTATTATTATTATTATTAATTATTATTATTATTATTATTAATACCTTCAAAGAGGACGATAAGTGGTTTCCCCACACTCACAAGTTTATCACTATTGCCTTAACAACCTGAAACGAATCACGAGCTAAGATCAACGCACTTACGAGGGCCAGGAGCTGTAATAATCCGAATTTTCCTTTATGTAATACACTTCAGCATTAGTAGTTTGAAGCCGATCAGCATAGGTAAGATAGGTGAGGTAAGATTCGTCAGGAAATAGGATAAGTGCTTCCTGAAGCGGGTCGTAGTCGATGACCCGCAGCTGGAGCTTTTAGTCATCAGACTGAGGCCTTCCGCTGGTTTACCGGTCCACCCCTTTAAAAATTATAGTTATAATTATAATCATGAAATACTACTGTGTATCTCTCTTTATTATCTCTGAAGGGGCGTTTTTGTATTATCGCATCTATAATTTATCATACGATCCACAAAGAAAACCGGACCACTATATTAAATTATAGGCTGGCTTACGGCCGTGCTGGAGAATGATAAACTAATTCATCATCCTCTCAGTCCTTTGAACCATTTATCAATATACAATAAATTTGGCACTTGTGAAACTCAACATACATCTCCCGCAATGATGAATTAGACACATGTGAAAAATCTGGGTATCTTTTACTTGTAGACGTATCGCCATCCAGTGGCTTCATCAGTACAAAACAATACATGGACGTAATAGAAATAGTATATACAGCAAACAGTAGTTGAGGTAGTCAGTCATCTTCCGTTTATATCATTAAAACCACAAAGTGGTCTTAATGAAAATTTCACAAATTATATTCCCATGCCTTATACTTACGGGACCATAGCACTATAAAAATGAATAATGGCTAATTTTATAATAAGGGATATTTAAAATTTATTTTAGGTTTTAGATAAAATCTAGTACCTTCTAAAACGCTAAAGGGATTTGTGTAATAAATTATGTATTGTATTTTTTAAACTACGTATTGTGAAGTTCCCATTTTATTTTTGGTATTGATATCCATATTCATTTGTTCCAAAAAATTGTGTATGATATTCCAAAAATTTTACAAATATAATTTGCAAAATTGGACTGTAAGACGCATCAGCGATAAAAGTTTTTTTTTTGAAACTAAGGAAATAAATTAGTTAATTAGTAAATTAACAAATTTGTAACTACACATTCTAAACTTACAGGTTATTATGCTTCTCGTAAGATGCATCGACTACCAGAGTTAAAATCGTTCAGATGAGGCACAGTCAAGATATTTTAGAGTTAAAACTATTACCCCATTTAAAAAAGTTTAAGTTTGGCACCAATACACTACAACTTTTTTTCTGTCCAGTTTACACCTGTGTTGAAAGTTCGAAGATAATCGGAAAAGCGTCTCACAATTTATCACAAGGAAACCAAACTTGGGTATGGTTTATATAGCACTGGCTAGAAGGCATCTGCAATGCCAATAGTTGCACGATTCATTCCTTGCTTACAGCACACGAGAGTCGTAAATTTGAAGCCAGTCGGATGAGACATTCTCAAATTATAAATTTAAATCTTGGAAGGAGAAAAATATCAGGTAGCCATTGTAAAGTGGTTTTGGGGGTATGTCTAATTATATCACGTCACGAAAGACGCACGTACTTCAACAGGTGTTGACTTATATTTCGTAAGTGATAAAAATATATTACGTTTTTTCCATATTTCTGGATATTTTTTCATACGTTGTGTATTGGTGCCTACATTGTTGACATTTATTGCACAACCTTCTGATTGCTATCGGGATGAGGATCTGAATTTCCTTTCGTATATAGATTTGCTACGCACGTAAGTTTTGCTACTTTTATTCCTAACAAAACATGCTAGCAACCTGCACAACTACTTGAACGAACTACAACAACTGAACCAAATTTGAACTATTTTCTATGAAGCTCCACCATCAAATTACATTTTGCAAGTATTTTTAATAGATTAGCTATTGACTGTCAACTGATGGTTGCGAGAATCGTGGCCGCTACGGCCAGGTCCACCTCGGCTATATAGTATTCCACCATAAAGTGGTTTAAATAGTAGATTTTTTTTAAGTGACTGTCGTAAATGTGGCATAATCATCGTTGATCTAATAACAATAATATAATTATAATAATATCTACAGTATATGTTCTGTGGCAAACTCTCAGCGTTTGCGATTCAACTCGTCACACATACACTATATTCTCAAGGTGCTGTATACATCTCCACATGCCACGGAGAAAAATAGCCTTAGATAAGATAAAACACCTAAGATAACCTGTGTTATATGGAACACCCTAACTTGGTAGATCACCCTGCCTTGGAGGGTCACTTTGTCTTAGTAGGTCACCCTGCCTTGGAGGGTCACTTTGTCTTAGTAGGTCACCCTGTCTAGATGAATCTTCCTGAATTTATTTTACTTTATTGACATCAGTTAAATATATTAAGGTCTTGATGTTCAGCCAAGTTTTTGTGAATTAACAGTTTTCCTGCTTCTCACAAATACCGTTGTCATATAAGCTAAGGCCGCAAGCTCTGCTTAAAAGAAAAAGAAATGGATTTACACACAGATTATAAAAAACTTTTTTTTTGTGCTATACTATAAGATATATACCGATCATTAGCTCTCCGATCAGGCATGATTAGTTTCAGCCTTGAAATGCATGTTTCTTTCATATCGTGCAGTCGTACATACTAAAACTATTACTACTAGTACTGCTATTAATAACAATAATAATAATAATAATAATAATAATAATAATAATAATAATAATAATAATAATAATAATAATTATAATAATAAAAACAACAACAGAAACAACAACAACAACAACTACAACAACAACAGCAACAACAACAACAACAACAACAACAACAACAACAACAACAACAACAACAACAACAACAACAACAACAACAACAACAATAAAATAATACAAAAAATAATAATAATAATAATAATAATAATAATAATAATAATGCTGATAATGCTACTACTACTATTACTACGACTTCTACTACTACTACTACTATTACTACTACTGCTGCTACTACTATTACTACTACTACTGCTACTACTATTACTACTACTACTACGACTTCTACTACTACTACTACTACTGTTACTATTACTACTACTAGTACTACTACTACTACGGCTTCTACTACTACTACTACTACTACTACTACTAATAATAATAATAATAATAATAATAATAATAATAATAATAATAATAATAATACAGTAATAAAAATCTCCACAGTTGCTGATCCCGATGATTATGCCGTGCTTTGGGGTGCTCTTCTCACATTACCTGATAGAGGAAGGAGCGACCTCGACCACCACAGCCTGGATCTTCAGCGTCCAGTGCTTCATCTGGAACATAATGGCACTGGTTACGCGGCCGCTCATCGGAGAGTTAGGCTGGAGGAAGGTCGGAATCTTAAGCTCTGTGTTGACCAGCATCGCCTTCGTTATCTCTGCCTTTTCTCCTTGTCCTGAGTTCCTTTTCTTCTCGATTTCTCTCTTAAGTGGTACGTGTGTCATATTATTGTATTTTGTGACCTAAGTACGCCAGTTTGATCTCAGGAAAATTGTTGTAAACTTATAATTACTTTAGATTCATGAATCATGATATGATGCAATGAAAATAATGATAGTAAATAATCCTACATTTATATGTATACAATCATTACTTCTCAATCCACAGTAGGACTCGACCCTCCAAACTCGGCATCAGAGTGCACAAATCCTATTGTGAAATAAGCGATAATGTTTGCAAACAATTTAGCCTGTTTGCGAATTGTTTAGTGTATAATATATATATATATTATAAATATATATAAAATTTATATTATATAAAATTTTATATATATATATTAATATATTATATATATATATAATATATATATATGTGTATATACATATATATATATAAATGTATATATATAAAATATATATGTATATATATATATTATATATAATATAATATATATATTATATATATTATATTATATATATATATATATAAAAATATATATATATAAAATATATATATTTAATATAAAATATAATATATATATGTCGTGCCGAATAGGCAGAACTTGCGATCTTGGCTTAAATAGCAACGTTCATCTTGCCATATAGCACAAGTGAAAATTTGTGTATGCAAAAAATTCGCCAAAATCATTCTGAACCTAACAAAAAAAATATATTTCACTGTGTTTGTTTAGTATTAAATTATTGAAAACAAATCTAAAATATATTTAGTTGGGTTAGGAAAAATAAATTGCGCTTGTTATAATAAGGTTAGGTAAGTTTTCTAAGTTCCTTTTGGTGCAAAATTATAAATTTTTACATCAACATTAATGAAAAAAATATATCTTTCAACGTATAGAGAAAATTTTTGAAAGAACTTAATTTTAAATGAGTTCTTGCTAGTTGACCAGTTTTACATATTCGGCACGACAAATATATATATAATATTTATATATATATATATATATATTATATAAATATATTTTAAATATATATATATATATTATAATATATATATATATATATATAATTATATATATATATAAATGGGGGGTGATGAGAGTATCAAATGATTTAGATAAAGAAAAATTGGATATCAAATTGAGGAGGAAGAGTATGGAAGAAGTGAATGTTTTCAGATATTTGAGAGTTGACGTGTCGGCGGATGGATTTATGAAGGATGAGCTTAATCATAGAATTGAAGAAGGAAAAAAGGTGAGTGGTGCATTGAGGTATATGTGGATACCTGGTTACCTGGAGTTATAAAACGTTATCTTATGGAGGCAAAGAAGGGAATGTATGAAAGTATAGTAGTACCAACACTCTTATATGGGTGTGAAGCTTGGGTTGTAAATGCTGCAGCGAGGAGGCGGTTGGAGGCAGTGGAGATGTCCTGTCTAAGAGCAATGTGTGGTGTAAATATTATGCAGAAAATTCGGAGTGTGGAAATTAGGAAAACGTGTGGAGTTAATAAAAGTGTTAGTCAGAGGGCTGAAGAGGGTTTGTTGAGGTGGTTTGGCCGTTTAGAGAGAATGGATCAAAGTAGAATGACATGGAGAGCGTATAAATCTGTAGGAAGGAAGGCGGGGTAGGGGCCGTCCTCGAAAAGATTGGAGGGAGGGGGTAAAGGAGGTGTTGTGGGCGAGGGGGTTGGACTTCAACAAAGGGTGCATGAGCGTGTTAGGAGTGAATGGAGACGAATGGTATTTGGGACCTGACGAGTTGTTGGTGTGTGAGAAGGGTAATATTTAGTGAAGGGATTCAGGGAAACCGGTTATTTTATATAACCGGACTTGAGTCCTGGAAATGGGAAGTACAATACCTGCACTCTAAAGGAGGGGTTTGAGATATTGGCAGTTTGGAGAGATATATTGTGTATTTTTATACGTATATACTTCTAAGCTGTTGTATTCTGCGCACCTCTGCAAAAAGAGTGATTATGTGTGAGTGAGGTGAAAGTGTTGAATGATGATGAAAGTATTTTCTTTTTGGGGATTTTCTTTCTCTTTGGGTCACCCTGCCTCGGTGGGAGACGGCCGACTTGTTTAATAATATATATATATATATATAAAAATATATATATATATATATATTATATATATATATATATATATATTTTATATATATACATACACTGATCTCTGGCTGAAGGAGACTCGAACCTACGAACCTTAGGGCAAGGTACGCAGTGCTTTACCAATCTACCCACACTGGACAATACCTTGGCGTGTAGCTTACGCTACACGTTTCATCCAAGGCAGCCAGCTTTCAGGGAGAAAGGGTTACAGTTTTCATCTCATCCCCTGCATGCATTCAGCCTTACTAGAGATTTGAACAATGCAAGGAATTCGCGAGAGCAGGCGAAATATACACAAATCTCTAGTAAGGCTGATGCATGCAGGGAATGAGATGAAAAGCTGTAAGCCTTCTCCCTGAAAGCTGGCTGCCTTGGATCAAACGTGTAGCGCAAGCTACACGCCAAGGTATTGTCCAGTGTGGGTAGATTGGTAAAGCACTGCGTACCTTGTCCTAAGGTTCGTAGGTTCGAGTCTCCTTCAGCCAGAGATCTGTGTTTGTGTATATTTCGCCTGCTCTCGCGAATTCCTTGCAATTTTCAAATCTCTAGTAAGGCTGATGCATGCAGGGGATGAGATGAAAAGCTGTATGCCTTCTCCCTGAAAGCTGGCTGCCTTGGATCAAACGTGTAGCGTAAGCTACACGCCAAGGTATTGTCCAGTGTGGGTAGATTGGTAAAGCACTGCGTACCTTGTCCTAAGGTTCGTAGGTTCGAATCTCCTTCAGCCAGAGATCAGTGTTTGTGTATATTTCGCATGCTCTTGCGAATTCCTTGCATTGTTCAAATCTCTAGTAAGGCTGATGCATGCAGGATGAGATGAAAAGCTGTAAGCCTTCTCCCTGAAAGCTGGCTGCCTTGGATCAAACGTGTAGCTTATGCTACACGCCAAGGTATTGGTCCAGTGTGGGTAGATTGGTAAAGCACTGCGTACCTTGTCCTAAGGTTCGTAGGTTCGAGTCTCCTTCAGCCAGAGATCAGTGTTTGTGTATATTTCGCATGCTCTTGCGAATTCCTTGCATTGTTCAAATCTCTAGTAAGGCTGATGCATGCAGGATGAGATGAAAAGCTGTAAGCCTTCTCCCTGAAAGCTGGCTGCCTTGGATCAAACGTGTAGCGCAAGCTACACGCCAAGGTGTTGTCCAGTGTGGTAGATTGTAAAGCACTGCGTACCTTGTCCTAAGGTTCGTAGGTTTCGAGTCTCCTTCAGCCAGAATCAGTGTTTGTGTATATTTCGCCTGCTCTCGCGAATTCCTTATATATAATATATATATATATATATTATATATATATATATATATATATATATATATATATATATATATATATATATAGTGTGTGTGTGTGTGTATTTAATTTATTTATTTATTTAATTTATTTATTTCTTTATTGATAAGATACAGAACATTAAAACTGGTTCTTTATCTTTATTTATAATGATTTTTTAAATCAATCTATTTTATTTTTTGTTTTCTGATTAACTATACGTCAACAGGTATCGGCGCAGGGATTGCGGTGAGTTTGTGCTTCATTATATTGCCACTTTACTTCGATCGCAAGCGCGGAGTGGCTAACTCTATAATGATGGCTGGGATCTGCATGGGCCAAATTGTGGGGCCACCAGTCGCTCGCTTCCTGCAAGACGAGTACGGCTTTAAAGGAGCAACTTTGATCATTGGAGCCCTCATTCTTAACAGCTGTGTGGGAGCTTGTTTCTTTCATCCAGTCGAATGGCACTTAAAAAAAACTCGTCGAGAGGCAGTGAGTCTTCCTCAGGAGGATGAAGCGTTGCTGTGTGAGCAGAACGCCAAAAGAAACTCAGCTGCCTCGAACTCACAGATATCATGTAACGAGAGTAAAGGTGACCAGGACTTGATGCCATTTGCTATGTTAAAGAAGCAACGCGGAGGACTACACAGTGCCGAAGCTTCGAGCATTTCTCGAAACAGCTCGTCTCTCTGTATATCAACAATAGACATAGCCGGCGTCGGAACTATACCCGTCAGTGAATTAATTGAAGAACCATATCCCTACGTCCAGGATTCCAACAGATCCTCTTCGTTTTGCATTTCCAAAACTTTTCTCAGAATAGTCCGCGGCACTGCTAAAGATCTAACTATTCTTCGTTCTCCAAGAGTCTGCATCCTTGCTCTAAACGGAACCTGTTTCCTCAACGGATACTTCAACTTTATGATGATTGTGCCCTTTGCGATGCAGGCTGCCGGGCGTAGTCTGGAGGACTCGGCTTGGTGCATCTCCATCTCATCTATCTGTAACCTTCTCTTGAGAGTGGTGGTGTCTTCGCTCTCAGACTTCCCAAGGTTCAACAAGCGCGCCTGCTATGTCTCCGGCTTTGTCGTAACTTCACTTACCATGTTCAGTAAGGCAATAATATAGATTAGAATGTAGTTGTGTAGTTGGTGATTCCAGTGGTCCTTTGCCAGTCAGTGAAAGGCAAGCAAAGGCTCTCTCTCTCTCTCTCTCTCTCTCTCTCGCTCTCTCTCTCTCTTTCTCTCTCTCTCTCTTTTGTATTTGACAGGCGTGAGGTGGAATATAATTCAGTCTCTGCCTTAAATCAAAGTGTCGCAGGATATTGTAATGAAAATGGGATGTGGAGACACAGTGTCATGACCGAAGATCAATATTTAAAGTTCATTTACAGACGTCTTGATTTCCTATTCTTCTTTCAAGGGCACAAGCGCGAGTACCAGCAGCCTACCTTCGCTTGTCTGCCGCCTCTGTACGTCAGCCCATAACCAGACAAAGCCTTTTCTGGCTTGAACTAGCCCGGTCCAGGCTGCCATCGTTCAGAGCACAATTACTGAAACCAAAACAATGATTATTACCTACAAGATTCCGATTGCGTGCCATGAGATTCGGTCTCTTTCGTTCTTGTGTTGCCTCTGTTCACATCTGCCTCTACTCACTTCGTATTCTGAATGGATTTTTTAAGCTATTCCTTGTTAAGCCAGAAACTTTCCACCGTTTCCTTGCACTCTTTTTCGCAACACTGAATCGTTTCCATGGAACCATTTCATACCGATTTAAATGAAAATAACCTCAAAGAATTTAGCCAATTCTCACTGTTCTTATTCGTTTTTGTATACAATGGTCGCTCACCACCAAAGTAGGACAACAAAGAAAACACACTCATCATCTCTCACTGTCTAGCAGTCTATCGAGAAGTATATGAACATGGTTAGACAATGACCTACCGAACCGCAACATCTCCTCCAGTCATCTTTTGTAGTGCAGGCAGCGAGCACCCCACCTCCAAAACTCAAGTCCAGTTAACCCAGTGGTTCCCAAACTGGGGGTAAATTACCCCCTGGGGGTAATTTAACCATTTTTGGGGGTTAATGGAGGGGTGACAGAAAAAAAGTTATGAATTCTGAAAATCAAGAAAACAATGCAGTACCCGGTATGAGGATTATTGTTAACTTTGTCTTAGTATATAAAGTTGTAAAGTAAACCTATTATAAGTAAGTAATAAAGTTAAACCAAATAACAATAAACATCAAAAACTAATATACAGTATTAGAAAAGAAGAAATATATAGCTAAGTGTGTGGAAACCCAAAAGTATTTTGACAAGTATGCTTCAGGACAAAAGTCACTCAGTAGCCCAGATCGACCTGTCCAGTACGCGTCACTCACTTCCTGAGGCTGCCTCTATTTCACACTGTCAGTTTATCTGTGAGCATCAGCCGAGGTAGACATAAGCTGGTATGAAGCCAAGAATTCCTAAACTAGCTTCAAGTATGCAACTCCATCCATCCCACTGATGTTCTTGACATCTTTGGTAATAGTCATTAGAGATGCACAATGTTCAAATACAATAAATAAAAGAAAATATCTCAAGTGTTTTAATTTAGCCATATATATCAATAATAACAACATTTTGTGAAAGGGGTAACATGCTTTATGTGGCATGTTAAATTGGGTAACAAGCTGAAAAAGTTTGGGAACCACTGAGTTAACCGATTGTCCTGAATCTCTTCATGTATATTACTGCGCCATTTGCTCAAACACGAACCTCACAAAAACAATCTTAATGAGCCTCGTGTAGTCAGTAGGTTCTAAGACTCATCCTAACTAGCTAATAAAAATACTGAAAATGTGCCTGATAACTTGAGTGGGCTGACTTGGTCCTGTAGAAAGGCTGCGATGTATGCGAGATGCAGAGGAATTTCGAGAAAGGGTTGAAAAGTGGATGTTAAGGTTTGGTCTACCCGGACCTTAATTCAGTTTTTACTCTTGTTATTATTCATGGGTAGTGCTCACCTCGTGGGGGTCAAACAGCAATTGGGGAATAGTTAGATCAAAGGAAGAGGATTTCAAGTATATTTCCATGGAGCTAGAACCTTCACCGTAGTCAAGGAAGCTTCCTTGTAGAGCCACAATTCAATGCTGCTTTAGTATGAATACATGATATATGTCCTTTTAGCTATTCTTCTTCTTCGTTTTCCTCTTCTTCTTCTTCTTCTTCTTGTTATTATTATTATTATTATTATTATTATTATTATTATTATTATTATTATTATTATTATTATTATTATTATTATTATTGCTATAAATTATCATAATAACATTATTTTACATCAGTAGCCTAATTAATGTTATATTTCACCGTAATTTCCCCTCTTAATCACTGTGAAAATAAACAACACTTACGACTTCTCCACAGCGTTCCCGTTACTGGTGGAGCTGAGGTGGCAGATCTTAACGATGGCTGGGTTCGGCTGCGGTATCGGGGCCACCATGGGTCTCTATACGATCACCATGATCGATGTTATGGGTTTAGACAGCCTGGCCCCCGTGTTTGGAGCCACCAGCTTCGCTGTGGCCTTCGGATTCCTCTGCTTCGGACCCATGATAGGTATAGTAACAGCAGCAGCAGCAGCAGCAGCGGCGGCGGCGGCGGCAGCAGCAGTAGTAGTGGTAGTAGTACTAGTAGTAGTAGTAGTAGTAGCACAGTAGTAGTAGTAGTAGTAGTAGAGTGTGTGTGTGTGAGAGAGAAAGATGCTCCAATTCCATCCTGTTTCTTATTTGTATATCTCTTTAAAAATAAAAAGGCTTTCAAACGAGCTGATGTAGATAACAGCTTTAAGCTTGTAAATATAGTTAGGAACGCTAACCTTGTAGAACCCTGTGTAAAAGGAAGACAAAAAGAGAGAGGAGAAAGAGAGAGATAGAGAAGAGAGAGAGAGAGAGAGAGAGAGAGAGAGAGAGAGAGAGAGAGAGAGAGAGAGAGAGAGAGAGAGAGAGAGAGAGAGAGAGAGAGAGAGAGAGATAGAGAGAGAGAGAAAGAAAGAAAGAAAGAAAGAAAGAAAGATTCTGTACTTGTTTCTCCTTGTCTCCTTGTAGCCATCAACTGTTTTCGCATTAAAATTTGAAAGCTTGAATATGATAAGTGAACCTCCTTTTAGAGGCGGACATGTAAACCAGAGGAAGACCTCGATCAAAGTGATCAAAAGCTCCACGGAGCGAATCATTATATAAATAAAATCCGCTGCAGAAAAAAAAAATTTCTCTTAACAAACAAAATACCTCAACCACCAAGTAGCTGCCGGCGCTGATGTCAGGCTACGCATGAAATGACACAGGTCAACCTAAATTAAACTAACCTAAATATGTGCCTAAACATTAACCCAAATTTAATGTAGCCTAACGTAAAACAACCTAACGTAAGTCTAGCATAATTTCATTTACCTGAAAAAAATTACATCCTTAAATTTCTCCATGATCTCCGAATAGCGCACTTCCCACCACATTGAAGAAAAGACACGTTTGCGGGATGAGTTTCATGTTGAATTCATCCCTTTGTTATGTTTGAGTTACAAGGCTCCCACCGCCTCCAGTCAGCCGCCAATTCCACCACAGTGTTAGTAGGAACTCGGAAGTAAGACAAGTGAGATAAATCCCTTACCACTTATGGCTGGCAGTGTCGTCTTCACGACTAGGTGTGAGAAATATTTCTTGTATGCAACGTGTTTTCCTCGTTCGAGTGACATTTGTAGCTCCAGTGACTGAGAGATCTGGCATCTGACGGTAGGTGAGATTGACGGGCTCAATAATAGTGTAATGGAAGGAAGTCTCCTCCTCAATGTCATACAGAGACAATTTGATCTGACATTGTTCTCTCAAGGGCACCAGAGTCAACGCCAACTACCGGAGGGTTGCAGTGTCTTGTCTTATCTATACAGAGGCCCTGAAGCCAACAATTACCTATCCAGATTGAGCAAGGTTAAGCTCGATCGATCTCGACCAGAGAAGAAGACTGCTACAAAGCAATAATCTTATTTTGTTGTAGATTAAGTAACCCTAGGAGTCAGTCCCTTTGCTTGAAATATTTAGAAAACTGAGCGCATTAAGAATAATCATCTCTCTTCTAATTTTCTCCCTCCCTTCTTTCAGTCCTGTCTTTGGTTGTCCCCCCCACCCTTTCACTAAATGGCTTTTTTTAAAAGGGTTTGGGGAAAGGGGCCCGGGAAGCGCGAATCAAAACTAAAAAAATTTTGAAAAAATTGAGACCCCTTTATGCAACAAAAGTTGAAATAAGTGTCTCAATATATGCAACATTTTAAAAACATATGTGCATAAGTGTTTTAAATCTTAAACTCTTTTTTTTCTAAAAAAATTTTTGACCACAAAACAAATTAATTATGTAAAAGGTAACTTGGGGGAAAAGAAACTTGAAGTAAAAAAATTTTCGCTCTTTACTAAACCCTGGGGTCGGCCCTAGTTTGCACTTCTTGACAAGAACAAAATTTTTGTGTTCTTGGGACAAAAGTAAAGCTTTTTATAACACTTCCTTTTTTTTAACAGATTTAAAAAAAAAAAATTTCCAAAACTTGATTGTCTTTAAAGGGTTACCATACCTGTAAAAAACACCTTTCAAGAATATTTTTAAATTTCATTTTTTTTGCGATTTTAAACAACACCGGGTTTTGTACACTGATAAAATATCACCCCTCGGTGTAATAACCAGCGTAATTTTGCAGACCTCCGCATTTATTCATCCATTGTTTTTTAATAAACACTTTTTATATATTTTTTTTAAATTAAATTAAGATACAATATACTGTTTAAAATTAAACTTTTATTTTATTTTTTTTTTTTTTTTTTTTTTATCACACCGGCCAAATTCCCCCAAAGGGCAGGGGGGCCCCAAAAAAAGGGAAAAACTTTCACCCATCTTTCACCCATCACTGTTTTGGGCCAAAAGGGTGCTTTACACAACATTTTTTTAAATGAAAAATTAAAACCCCCCTTCAGAGTGCGGCACTGTTTTCCCATCCCTGGGACTCAAGCCCGGGCCTCCCGGGTTTTCCCTTTGAACCCCTTCATAAATGTTACTTTGCTCCCACTCCCAACAGCACGTCAAGAAATTTTAAAAACCTTTTGTCTCCTTTAAACCCCAAATCAAACCGCTAACGCATGCCTGCTTAAGCCCAAAGCCCTCGCACCCCAAAACCTCCTTTACCCCCCCCCCTCCCCCCTTTACCAAACCCCCTACCCCGCCTTCCTTCCACTACAGACTGATACACCTTAAAGTCTTTCTGTTTCGCTCCATTCTCTCACATTTTTCCAAAACCAACCTAAACAACCTTCCTCACCCTCGGGACAACGTTTTTTTAATCCCGCCCCCCCCTAATTTCCCAAAACTACAATTCCCTGCATTATATTCACCCCACACATTGCCCTCAACTGAATCTCCACTGCCTCCAGCCTTTTCCTCCTGAAACATTCATCACCCCCCTTTCACACCCATATAAGAGCTTTGGGTTTAAAAACTATACTCTAATACATTCCCCTCTTTGCCTCCAAAGGACAAAGTTTTTTGTTTTCCAAGACCCTAAGTGCCCCCACCCCACTTTTTTCCCTCATAAAATTCTAAAAAACACCTCATTTTTTTAGCCCCCATCCGCGACCACGTCCACCCCCCAAAAATTGAATACTTCCCACCCCCTCCAAAACCTCTCCCCTCCAATCTGATATTCAATCTTTCATCACCTAATCTTTTTTTTAAAATTCATAACTTATTTCTTCCTTTATTCCCCTTTTAATTTTTTTTCTTTTGCACACCCCCCAAAAATTCCCCACCAACTCTGCAACTTCTCTTCAAAATTTCTCCCAAGAGCAAAATGTCTCGGCAAAGAGCCCCCCCTTTTTCCAACTCCCCCCTTTGTTTTGGGATTTTTATCTTTTAACTCCACCCCTTCTTGCCAAGCCCCTGTTTTAAACTTCTCTTCCCAACCCCATCTATAAAATTTTAATTTAAAACCCGGGGAAAATTTTCCCCATCCTTGTCTAAGGCCTACTTTTACTGGGGAAAAAAATTTCCCCCTTTTCCCACTACTCCAACTTGGCCTCACTATCCCCCCGTAAAAAATCTTCCCCTGCTTTCAGTAAACCTACTCCTACACCATACACTTGCCCAAAATGCCCCATTGCCCCCCCATCCAACCCCGTCATACGCCTTTTCCCCCAAAACCCTAAATCCACAAAACCCCCTTTTTCCTTATTTAAAAACTGTTTTACTTATATGGTTTTTACTGTAAAAAACCCGTCCACCACCCCCCAACCTTTTCCCAAAGCCCCCTTTTTCATTTTTGTTTTCCTATTTTCCCCTCTTACTCTTTAATTTTTTCAATTATAACTCTAAAAAATACACTTTTCCCGGTTTCACTCAACAACCCTTTTCCCCCAAAAATTTTTGCAAATTCTTTTTTTCCCCTTTGCCTTTTTCAAAGGAAAATTTTTGCTCTCTGCCCAAACCCCAGGTAATAACCCCCTTTCCCCCTTCCCTTTCATTTTTTAAATAATTCACCAACCCCTCCAAAACTATTCCCCACCTGCTTTTAAATTTCCTTTCTTTATCCCATCCAAACCCCTGCCCTTAAACCCCCCCCATTTTACCCACTGCCCCGAACTTCCCCCCCCACAACTGGGCTCTTCCCCCTCCCCACAAGATTTTAAATTTCCCCCTTGCCCCATAAACCCAAATCAAGCTTCCCCCTTTTTATCAACTTTAACAAATTTCCCCAAAAAAATTCCTTCCAATCTTCCCCAAAACCTCTACCTCCCATTTAATAACCCCTCTCCTATTTTTAACTGCAAATCCATTTGGGTTTTCTAGGCTTTCTTTAATTTTTTTTAAAATCTCACTCCAAAACTTTTTCTTTTTTTCAACAAAATTGTTTATAAATCTCACCCACCTCTCATTTGGGTCTCTTTTTTCATTGCTTTACCACTCTTTAACTTCTCTCTTTTTTTCCCCTATACTTTCCCTCCCTTTTCCTTCAAATTTGTAAAAACCCCTTTTCATATGCTAAAATTTTTCTCCCTTCTACTCTCTTTACATCAACATTCCACCAATCGGGTCCCCTTCCCCCTCACCCCCCTTTCCCCTTTAACCCCCAAAAAATTCTGTGAAAAAAACCCAACACTACATTTTTTAAAACCCCCCCTTTCCTCTTCGACCCATTCCTATGCTCTCAATTTGCCCATCTATCCTTTTCCCAAAAGCTGTTTATATCTTACCCTAACTGCCCCCTCTTTTAGTTTAAAAAAAACCTTCACCCCTTTTCCCTTATTTTATTTCCTTTATCCCTTTCCTTTTACTCTCATTACTTCAACTAGAAAGGAAACTGATATAAACGGGGCCCCCCTTTAAACATTTACATCCTGAAGTCTTCTCAACAGTCCTTTTTTTTACCAAAACCTTTAAACCCCCCAAACTACTGTCTTTCGCCCCAATTTATTTTCGTTTATACTTATTTTTCCTCTTTTTCTTAAAATATGATTTCCTATAAAAAAAAAACCCCCTTTTTATACAAAGTTCAAAACAAAGGGGTCCTTATCAAATTTTCAAACCCGGGACCCCAAACTTACCCCACACCCTCTCTAAAAATTTCTCCTACTTTTGCATTCAAGTCCCCTACCACAATTACCTCTCACTTGGTTCAAAGGTCCTATACATTCACTTAAAA